ACGAGATGGATTGATTCAGTGATTGAGGAAATGGGGTTAAGTGTGTAAGAGACAGTGAGATTGGCAAAAGATAGAGCAGGGTTTAGGGCTGCTGCACATAGGGTTGCTATGAGTTGCAGGCAACTCGATGACATGTAACAACAACAACTAGATTATACTTTTTTGTGTGTGTGTACCTTTGAAGCCTGAAACACTGGCATACCACACCTTACTAAGTACAGTAAATATTGTGATATTTCCTTTTTTTTTAATTAAAAATGCTTCAGGGTTTTGTTTTAGTTTAAAATCTGAAAGTTTCTGCCAAGCCTTCTTTGAGCAGGTCTACTATGTGATTTTTTTCCAATAGTAAATGCTTACTTGTCACATTTTGGTAATTCTAAAAATATTTTGAGCTTTTTCATAATCCTGTTGCATAATTGATAACAACTCAATTTATTGCCATTAAGTCAGAACCAACCCTAGCTGACCCCCCAGGGGTTTTCAGAGCCTGTAAATTGCCTAGGAGGAAAGTGTCCATCTTACTCCGGTGGACCACGTGGACCATTCGAACCACCAGCACAATTAATAGATGACAGTAAAGTATAAACATAACTTCTTTATGCATTGAGAAACAAAAAAAAATTCTGCCATAGTACCTCTTATCATCCTGAAGATCCTGTGGCTCACAATCTACCTTATGTGAGTATTTTAACTTCTTAACACAAAGAGTCATATATAGAGTGAAGCTCAACATCAAAAAGACGAAGATTCTCACCACTGGGCCAACTGGTAGCACCATGACAGATGGAGAAGGGACTGAGGTTGTTAATAGTTACAGCTTGCTTGGCTCCACAATCAACACTCCTGGAACCAGCAGTCAGGAAATCAAAAGATGAATTGCAATGGGGAAAATCTGCAGTCAGGGGCACCTCCACAGTTCTGAGAAGCAATGATGTCAGTCTAGAGACTAAGGTGCGCCTGTCTGTTCCAGGCCCTTGTCTTTGCAATTACTTGCTATGCCTCAGAGAGCTAGACAATGACTAGGGATGACAGAATAGATGTCTTTGAGTTGTGGTGCTAGGGAAGTCTGTCTTGGAGAGAGAGAAACCAAGTTTTGAAGCTCTGTCTCACATGCTTTGGGCATGCAGTCAGGAGGGACAGGTCCTTAGAGAAGGACATCATGCTCGGAAGGATGGAGGGAAACCAAAGGAGAGGAAGACCTCAGAGGAGGTGGTTTGACACAGTAAATGGGGTTATCGAGGCAGGTGTGTTGGAGTCAGTGAGACTGGATCAGGATAGGGCAGGCTTCAGAGCTGCTGTACATAGGGTTGAGTTGCAGGAGACTCCATGACACATAACAACCACCACAAGGAACTAACTCTTGAGAGCAACTCTCATAAACTGAATTGTGTCTGTCTATACATGTATATATCATGGGGAAGCTCTGTAATCCCCTGGTCTATAAAAACAAATAGTTGTAGGGAGATTAAAATAGGAATGCAACACTCCCGAAACCCATACCATCTTTAATCAGACATAAGGGGAGTTCCCCTAGACTGTGGTCTGTTGTACCTTTTATCTCAGCAGAAGTAAAACTGGAAGAAAACAAACCAGAAGGAGGGACCCTTAGGGGCATCAAGAAACAGTCACCTCCAATTATCAAGAAAGGTAATCCAACAGAATGTGAACATTATAGAACAATATCATTATTATCATGTGCAAGCAAAATATTTTTAATATCATAAAAAAACCAAACAGTACACTGCCAGAGTTCAAGCTGGGTTACGAAGAGGTTGTGGCACCAGGGATATTATTTCTGATAGTCAGAAATAATGGTCAGACAGATCTTGGCTGAAAGATGAGATTATCAGAAGAATGTCTACATTTGATTGTAGGATCATAACAAACAATGGTTAACCCTGAGAAGAAAATGAACATTTAACTGTCCTTATATGAAATCTATACCTAGACCAAGAAACTGTTGCCCAAATCACAGAAGGGAACACTACATGATTTAAAATCGGAAAAGGTTTGCATGAGGTCTGTTATCCTCTCTCCATAACTATTCAATTTGTATGCTGAGCACATCATCTGAGAAACTAGACTTTAGGAAGACAAGCTGGAGGAGAACTCATCAATTTGTTATGCAGATGACACAATAGTGCTTGCTGGAAGAAGGACCTGAAGCACTTGGTACAGAAGATCAAGGACTGTGGCCTTCAATATGATTTACATATCAACATCAAGAAAAAGATTCTTACCACTGGACCAATAGGCAACATCATGATAAAGAAAATTGAAATTGTCAATGATTTCAAATTGCTGAGCTTCACACTCAACCGCCATGGTATCATCCATCAGGAGACAACGGCACTGGGAAAGTCTATGGTCAGGGATCTCTCCGAAGTCCTGAGGAGCAATGATGTCAGTCAAAAGGCTAAGGTGTGCCTGATTTTTCCCATAGTCTTTCCAGTCACTAGCTATGCATCTGACAGCTGGACAATGAATGAATAAGGATGACAGAAGAAAAATTGTCTGATGTGTTTGAGTTGTATTGGAAAAGAGTGCTGAATATCCCATAGACTGACAAAACAATCAACACCCATAGTAACAGCAGTCAAGCAATCAAAGAACGTGTTGATTGGGAAAATCTGCGGTCAAGGAATATAGTGGTAGTGTGGGACAACCTGGTTTCAGGTTCAGCATCAACATCCCTCTGGTAGGCTGATAGTCCATTTTCTGGACCTGGCTGAGGCTGACAGAGTGATGGAGGACTTCAGTAACATTTTGTGCCATTTTCTCTTTAAATCTATCCTTTCATTTGTTCACAAGATAAGTGCTGTTTTCGTGTGTTTCTTTCTCAACAGGAGGGAAAGGGTCTTAAAAGTTCTGTCAAATTCTCCTTCAAACCCTTAGATTCTAATTCTGACCAGAAACAAGAGTTTCAGTGTTTTAACAAAGTGGCATTAAAGCAAATATGGTAACAAATGGGGCCCACATTCCTAGGCACTCCCACCCTTATCCCCTGCCTGCACAGAAGGGACCCTTTGGAAAGCTGACTTCACAGTCGGGGACAGTAGATCAAGACTGTGGGGCCAGTGGCTCTTCTGACAGCTTTCCGTGTCCTACTCTGATGGGCACATGGCCAGGAGGGTCCAGTCCTCAGAGAAGGACATCATGCTTGGAAGGGTGGGCAGACAGCACAGGAGAGAAAGACCCCGGATGAGACGGATTGATACAGTAACTGGAGCAATGGAGGTAATTGTGTTGGAGTCAGTGAGACTGGCTCAGGACAGGGCAGGCTTCAGAGCTGTTGTACATAGGGTCACTATGAGTTGTAGGCAACTCAATGGCACCTAACAACTTTGATTGGGTGTCAAAACACTCTATGCTTTTTTTTAAATATATATATTATTTATTCATTCATTGATGCACATTTTCTTCCCTCCTCCTCCCTTCCCTCTCACCAAGTCCATTTTGCAATGAGCCTCTTGTTCCATATTGTCATACATATAACGCCAAATCATATATTCCTTTTAAAAGATCTCCTCATTGTTCCAGTGCAGTATTCATTATCTATCCACTCTTTTCCAACTCTCCCCCCAACGTCCCATGTAAGTCTTATTTTATATCTGTTGTGTTATGCAATGTTTGCTCTTTAGTGACTCAGCATTATGTCCTCCAGGTTCCTCCATGCTGTGTAATGTTTTATGAGTTGACTGTTTTTTAATGCTGTACCCACAATTGCACATAATTCCCATTGTGTGAAAGTACCATAATTTTTCTATCCACTCATTTGTTGATGGGCACTTGGGTTGCTTCCATCTCTTTGCTATTGTGAATAATGCAGCAATAAACATGGGTATGCGTACATCTGTTTGAGCCTCAACTCTGATTTCCTTAAGGTATATTCCCAGGAATGGAATTGCAGGGTCAAATGGTTTTTCTATTTCTAACATTTCAAGAAAGCACCAGAGAGACCACCTTCTCTATGCTTTTTCTGACTCTCAAAGTCTGAGGTCTATTCTGTGGAGTCATCTTACTTGATCTGAGCCATCAAATTTACTGAAGCCCAGGCAAACTCTCTGTAATAGTTGTCCCAGAATATACAATAATAGCCAAGACATGTAGATTTGAAAAGTCAAAATACAAACCAAAAAGCCCCAAACAATTCAAGGCAACCTAGGTTTTGGAAAAGCACTAGAGATAGGTGTGGTTCAAAAGGATGATTCTTGGCAAACTCAGGTGGCCTAATGGCAAGAAGCTGCACTGCAATCCCAGAGGCGCACGGTTCGAATCCACCAGATGGTCTGCTGGAGAAGGAGGGGCCATCTCCTCCTGTACCAGTCAGATCTGATGGTATGCACACAAAAAATAATTTTTTTAAAAAAAGGCTGATTCTTGGAGTGAAAACCAATGGGTGGTATGGCTGTGTCAAGGTAATTATCACAAGGATGGGTAAACTCCCTACACCTGGCATTACAAAGGAGTTTAGGGAACTAGATCACCATCCATCTGACCAAGGGAGCACCAAGAGGCCCAGGCAGCAGGACTGGAGAACAGTTTGGACATGGTTAGGGACTGTGAGTTTAAATTTCATGTACCTTTGAGGACAGGTAAGTAATAGAGTTTATTAAAGAAAAATTGTATCCCATCAAAAGGACAAGAAAGCATGGGCTAGAAATGATGTATAAAAAGAAAACTGACCATTCTTAGGTAAAGGCTTTTCATTTTCTACTTGGGAAAATTCCTCTATTTAGTTACTACTCCCAGCTTCATACTCACACAGACTCTGAAGTCAAGATACTTCTAGTGAAGTAGTCATTTGTGGTGGCATTATTTTGTCCTTCTGCCCACAGACCTGCCCACACAGCTCTTCTACCTGAGTGTGTCTTCTGATGCATGAGGAGGTAGAAACTGTTGCCAAAGCATCTGCCTACATAATGCTTCTCCCTAGAAAACAAACTCTTCTCTGATGCATAATCAAGTGTGTTCCTCTCCCAAGTTCTTACTCATTCTCCCTACACACAGAGAACTTCTATTCCATGTCCTCTGTTAAAAATATTTGCCATACTCATTGCAAACATGGAGTTTTCATCTGAGTGTGTCTTCTGCTGTCTTAGAAGATTTGACTTCTGGCTTAAGCCTCAGCTACACTCACTGCAAACACAGGGCTTTCCCTGAGTGCATCCACTGATGTCTAAGGCGATCTTCCTTACAAGTGAAGCCTTGATCACACTCTGTGCGCACATGTGGTTTTGCCCCTGAGTGTGTCCTCTGGTGGAAAAGGAGGCCTGCCTTCTGGATAAAGCCTCGCCCACACTCCAAGCACACATATGGCTTCTCTCCTGTGTGTGTCCTCTGGTGTCTGATGAGATTTGACTTTCCATTAAAGCCTCGTCCACACTCCAGGCACACGTAAGGTTTCTCCCCCGAGTGGGTCCTCTGGTGTCTGATGAGATTTGATTTGCCATTAAAGCCCCGCCCACACTCCATGCACACATGTGGCTTCTCCCCTGAGTGTGTCCTCTGGTGTGTAAGGAGGACTGATTTCTGGGTAAAGCCTCGGCCACATTCACTGCAAATGTAGGGCTTCTCACCTGAGTGTGTCCTCTGATGTCTGATGAGGTGTGAATTCTGACTGAAGCCTCGCCCACACTCCTTGCACACATAGGGCTTCTCTCCTGAGTGTGTCCTCTGGTGTATAAGGAGGCTTGATTCCTGGTTAAAGCCTCGGCCACACTCCAGGCACACGTAAGGTTTCTCCCCTAAGTGTGCCCTCTGGTGTCTGAAGAGATTTGATACTCGGTTAAAACCTTGACCACACTCCTCACACACAAAAGGCTTCTCCCCTGAGTGTGTCCTCTCATGTACAAGGAGGTGTGATTTCTGATTAAAGCCTCGCCCACATTCCTTGCACAAATAGGGCTTCTCCCCAGAGTGTGTCCTCTGGTGCATGAGGAGGACTGATTTCCTGAAAAAGCCTCTGCCACACTCCTGACACATATAAGGTTTCTCACCTGAGTGTTTCCTCTGGTGTCTGATGAAGTCTGACGTGTAGCTAAAGCCTCGTCCACACTCATTACAAATGTAGGGAGTCTCCCATGAGAGGGACCTCTGGGTAGTGATGGAATTTGATTTCAGGCCATCGTCTGGTTCATCCTCTCCGTAGGCGACTGCTCCAAATCTTGATGTTTCCACCTTTTTTCCTACTTCCACAGAGTTTATTCTCTGGGCTGATCTGGGCTCTGTTCCCCTAACTGTGCTGCCTCTTTGAGGGCTTGCTAATCCTCCTGGTGGTGGCTTGGAGAAGGCCCACGAAGTCTCTCTCCTCCCTGCCTTCCCACCTGGGGCTTTGAAGACTTCTTTCTCCTGAATATTGGTGTTTTCAGCCCAGCAGCTTTGGCTGGAGTTCTGCTGTTCTTGCTTATTCTGATGCTCTGGGCTGGAGCTCCTCGGATGGGAGTGATTTTCTGCACTTAAGTCTGTGAAGAGCTGACTCACATGCTGACTGAGGAATCGCTGACAGGAGAAAGCCAGAAGGCACGAGTAGATTTCTGGCCTTGGCTCTGCTGAAGAGAGAAAGTTTCCAGTTAGAGTAGCCATAGTGGGGCCACCTGGGCCATCGGGCCTTCTCTTCAAAGAGAGCTGTGAAGATCCTGTCACAAACAGTTAAGTACTTAACTACTTGCAGAAATGCTAGTGGTTCAGAAGACAAGTGACCTGCTTCTGAAAGATCATAGTCTTAAAAATTATGGAGCAGTTCTGCACTCCATACAGAGGGTGGCTATGAGGCAACATTCATTTGACAACAAGTAACAATTTGGGGAACTCTGGTGACCCACTGGTAAGAAGTTGTGCTGCTAACGGCACACCAACTGCTCTATGAGAAAAAGATAGGCAATCTCCTCCTGTGCAATTTAAAGCCTCTGAAAAGCCTACTGGAGGGTCGGCTACGGGCTGGTTCCATCTCAACAGTACATAACAAACAACCTTATTGCCACATTTGTAATTGACAATCTGTATGACCCAATTTCTTTCCCACCATAATTCATTTCTATTCCAATTCCACAAGTTACACACTGCATTGTAATCCAGAAAGGGCCATGGAGGTGCAGTCATTAAAATAGTTGACTATGAAGCAAAAGATCAGTGGTTTAAATCTATAAGCTGCTCCATGGGAGAAAGATAAAGCAGTGTGCTTCCATAATGCCTCCTCAAACAGGTCCTCTTAGGATGAATTCCTCTTGGCCATGATATCTGTTGTTATTGGGTTCCTTCCAGACCTACTGATGCAGACCTTGCCATTGGCCCCCTTCAGGGTCTCCTCCTCAGTGTTACAGCTCCCAACCTGTCATAGCTCTTGCAGGAGATTCCTTACACCTTACTGCTCCTGCTTTTTGTCCTTTCTCTTTTTCCTTTTGCTGTTTCTCTTCTTGCTTCTGGGCTGGCTGCTTATAGACTCAAACTCCTCATCAATGTCAATGCAGGATGTTACCACAGAGCCGAGAACCGACCAATGCCCTTCTGCAGGCTACAGACACTCTTGTTTGCACAACAGATGAGCTATTTGATTGGCTTGATTATTGGTCAATCCCTACAAGACACAGGCCAATCACAGAGCAAAGTGCAGCCCACCACCAAGCAAAAATATATCCAAATTAAGCTGTTAATGTTTTCCCCAGAAAAAGAGAACAAACTCTCTAGGATAGAAAACCAGGACAAAGATAACTCTTAAGGGGCTAGGGAGAACCAAGACCACATAAAATAACTCATCCCATCACCATATGCAATAGTTATGGAGACTATGTATAATCAATCTAAAGGGAGCTCTGGTGGCCTAGTGGCAAGAAGCTGTGCTACAATCCCAAAGGTGAGTGGTTTGAATCAACCAGATGCTCCACTGGAGAAGAAGGAGCAGAGAAAAGAGAGGGGGGAGAAAAATCAATCTAAATCACAGGTTTCTCCCATATTCAAATATTCAAATACACAAATATTCATTCAGCTCCTTCTGATTAACCCATTGTGATCTTTGTTTAAGGTTTTGACAATCTGTTTGCACTTTAGTGGCTTGGACTGGGTCTGCTGAACTGAAAATTAGTAACCCTGTACTTAGACTGAGATGTTCAAATGTTCTCGGGGTGCATCTAGGCTCTTGGCAGCAGCCAGGCTCCACCTAAAGCTCTTATAGCAATCTAACGCTGGTAAAAAAACAGAAAGCCAGTGTTGGGATTGAGGTGGTTGTGTCTGTACTTTCAGAATAAAGAAGCAATTTTTTTTTAAAAAAAACAAAATTTTATAGGGTGATGGAAGAGAGAAGGGGAAAAAAGCAAAAATACGTTAAAGGCAAAGTCAAGGCATTTTTCAACTGCTTCACATGCATGTGAAAACCTAGACAAAAATACCTAATCACATATCCCTTTTAAACAGTTTTCTCCCTCATCTGTTTCAATGCAGTACACATTATTTACCTCATCTTTCTCAGTCTCCCCACAACCCCGAGGTCAGTCCTGTTTTACAACAGGGCACGATGCAGTATTTGTCCTTTCGTGACTGAGAGAGGGTCACCCATTTTGAATAACATTGCATAGTTCCTTGTTTTTCAATGCAGTATAGTATTCCATTGTGTGAATATACCACAGCTTCTCTATTCATTCGTTTGTTGATGGGCACTTAGGTTGTTTCCAACTCCTTGCTACTGTGAACAAAGCAGCGATAAATATGGCTGTGCATTGAGCTTATTTTAACAATGCAATTCGTCTTTTAATTTCCTGGCTGCTGGTACCAAGAGTGGTGACTGTGGAGCCAAACAAGCTGGAGCTGTTAAGAATCTCAAAATCTCTTTTCTGTCTATCATGTTGCTGCCAAATGGCCCAGTCGTGGGAATCTTTATTTTCTTGATGTTGAGCTTCAATCATATTGAAGGCTGCAGTCCTTGACCTGCAATAAATGTCTCAGGTCCTCCTTAGTTTTGTCAAGCAAAATGTGTCATCTTCATAACACAGGTTGTTGACGAGTCTTCCTCCAATCCTGATGCCACATTTCTCATCATAAAGTCCAGCCTTCTGGATGATCTGTTCCACACATAAAGGTATGGAGACAGGCTGCATTCCTGACATACACCTTTCCTGATTTTGAACCATACAGTGTTTCCTTGTTCTGTTATTATCAGTATTTCAATAGATCAAATCTTTATTTGTCTCTAGGAGTTGGCATGAGAAACCTAATCCCAAACATTGCCACCAAGTTAGTCCTAAATTATGTTAATTTTCACTGAGTTCCCAAGGCCTTTACCAGCAGAAAACCACCTAATCTTTCTCCTGCAGAGCATCTGGTGGGTTGAAACCATCCACCTTTTTAGTTAGCAACTTGAGTATTTTAACCTCTGAGCAATTAGTATTCCTTTAGTACATGCTAAGTGGCCAAGAAAAATATCTATTGAATTAATGAAGGAAAAGCAAAGGGGACATCCTCACCCAATGACAGCAGATTCCTGTAAATCTCCAGCATCACGTCTCTATACAGATTCTTCTGCTCAGAGCTCAGGCTCCTCCATTCTGCCTCTGTGAAGACCACAGTAATGTCTTCAACTGTAACAGGTTCCTAGAACAAGCAATGAATTAATACACAGGAATTCACTAACAAGTTTCTCCACAAGAAGAGTTCATCTGATGGCCCTCAAGAGTCTAGATCTGAAGAAGTTCACCTAATTATCTTTAGAGACTACAGTTGCTCATTTTCAAGTTCTTCTGGACATAATTGTGCACTCACTTTGTGAGGAAATTGGTTGGGGGGGAGCACAAATGATCCACACACTATACCCTGGCCCTCAAACATGTATGACTTCATCGGAGAAGTGAATTGTGAATAACTTGAAAGCATTAAGAAATGTCAAGATTAAAGAATCAGGAAAGATCCAGTGGGAACCTGAAAAGACGAAATAATACTAGGCATAGATCCATGGTGATTAATTTTATAAAACATAATGTATGGGAATGAGCGTATAAAACACAACATGAATGAAGAAATGTGTGAACAACAATGTATATGAAAGAAACACAATGTATATGAATTTTGTATGCAAACCAAAAAGTAATAATAATAAAGTTCAACAACAACAAGGTAATTCCTACTCACTGCTATTTCAGGCTTCCTCTTCTTCTCTTGGGGCCAGCCATAGTCCTTAGAAAGCCAGCCTAAGGGAAGAAAGAGAAGCTGTGAGAAAGTAGACCTTCTAGAAAGCTCCCGATGTGGCCTGTCTGAGCCGTGGGACTGAAGGAGGGGCCACACTATTCGGCTGTCGCCCCTTTATCATTCCCACCTGAACCCAGACCCGTGGTCCTCCTCTTCACCTCTCCAGACCAAAACGCTCACCTTTTGCCTCACGTTTTTTAGTTAATTTCTTCATGGTCTATTTATCTTCTTTCTTTGAAGCAAAAATCTTCTCCCAGTCCTTCTCTACTTGGGCAGAAGGAACAGGATCAGGCAACCTAATGGCCCAAGAGTCGGTCCAACAATTGCCTTGAAATTCTGTCATGGAACCAGCTGGAGTCCACTCATCTCAAGATGGATTTCGGCAGCATGAGCTGATTTCTTCACACCTCAACCATAAAAACTCCTCTTGTTTCCATGCATGCAGGCAGGACCTGTGGAATAGAGAAGCTTCATGCCGCTGGATCTACTATACTGTGCTGTAAACACACACCTCTTCAACAAGGACCCTGTCCTCTCATACCCTCTTCATTCAACAACTGTACAATCTCAGTACCTAAGTTCTACAGCTTTTCTACTTTTATTCATTCCTGGTCAATAAGCTCTCAATATTGCCCCTTACTGGTCATAACCTACTAAACTCCTATCTTCCCACTCATCTCTATGTCCCAAGTCAGCTTCTGTTACTTGAGTCAGAAAGAAGACCAAATACAGCCAATAACTGTGGACAAAGAGCCTGGAACACCTCCCTCCAGACTCATCAGGTCATGGTGGCGGTAACAGCAATGGTGATGCTGATGGGGGAGTGGCAGTAGCAAAAGGAGAAAAAAAATATGTAATTCTTGTACTGAACATAATATACCCCTAATTTTTAAAACAAAGTGAAAACCAGAAATGCTTCTTAATTAATTTCTCAATGATGGACAAAGTAAATACTAACGCCACTGCAAAAGAAACAGGTCAATTCCACTTATAACCATAGATGCAAAACTCCTAAATAAAATACTGGCAAACGGAATGTGGCTGAACCCTTAAAAATAACCAGCATGACCAAGTGTATTTTATTCTGAGGATTCTAAAATTAAGGTTTTCCACATGACTAAAACATCTAGCTAAAATGTAGGCCAAATCTCTTCTTATCCTAAGTAATAAGAAAGTCTCTGTCATACAGGGTAACCTGGCACTTTTAGGAAAATTTCCGTTGTACCATAAAGAAAAAAAGGCAGCTTTGCCTACTTTCTTCTGTTTATTTCAAACTTGTGGTTCAAGACCAATCAATTTAAGATTATTCAACACGGGTTAGATATGGTGTTCCATGACTTGAGCGAAATTTATGATTAGCCAGAACAAAGTCTCACACTGCAATACTGAAGGATTTTATGGGTAAAATGTTGAATGATGTAGGAAGCATCATAAAAAGATGGAGGAATACACAGAGTTACTGTACTAAAAAGAACTGGCCGACACTGAACCAAATCAGGAAGTAGTATATCAAGAACCAATGGTAATGAAGGAATATGTTCAAGATGCACTGAAGGTATTGGCAAAAACTAAGGCCCCAGGAATCGATGCACTATCAGTTGCTGTTTCAACAGATTCAACTCTGTATGTGTTCACAAGTCTATGCCAAGAAATTCAGAAGTCAGTTGCCTGGACAAATGACTAGAAGAGATTCATATTGGTTCCTGTTGACAAAAAAAAAAAGGGAGCTCTAACAGAAAATGGAAATCACCAAACAATATCAGTCATGATGCTAGAGTCTACGAAGAAGAATGTGGCATCAGGATAGGAGGAAGACTTATCAACAATCTGTGTTATGTGGATGATACAAGCTTGCTTCCTGAAAGTGAGGAGGACCTAAAACACTTGCTGCAGAAGATCAAAGACTACAGCCTTCAATATGGATTACATCTCAACATCAAGAAGACAAAAATCCTCACCACTGGGCTGATAGGCAATTCATGACAGATGGAGAAAAGATTGTAATTGTCAATGATTTCACCTTACTTGGACCCACAGTCAATACCTTTAGTGGAGATCAGAAGACCCATTGCATAGGGAAAGTATGCTATCAGGGGTCTCTCCAAAGTAGAGTCAGTTTAAAGACTAAGATGGGCCTGACTCAAGCCATGGTCTTTTCAATCCCTTGTTATGTTTCTGAGAGCTGGACAATGAATAAGGATGAAAGAAGAAACATCAATGTCTTTGAGCTGTGGTGTTGGAAGAGATTATTGAATATTCCATGGAGAGTCAAAAGAGCAAACAGGTGTATCTTGGAGAAAGTACACTTTGGAGGCAAGGATGGGAAAACCTGCTGTCAAGGACTTCTGCAAGATGTTAAAGAGCAACAATATCAGTTTAAAGACTAATGTGTGCCTGAGCCAAGCCATGAGCTTTTTAATTGGCTCCTATGGATCTGAAAGATGCACAATGAATAAGGATGAGAGAAAAAGAATCAATGCCTTTCTCCAGTGGTGTTGGAGAAGAATATTGACTATCCCATCGACTGCCAAAAGAACAAGTCTGTTTTGGAGGAAGTGCAACCAGAGTGTTCCTTGGAGGCAAGGACGGTGAAACTTCAGCTCACAAACTTTGCGCATATTGTCAGAAGGGATCAGACCTTGGAAACACAGACATCGTTCTCGGAAGGTGGAGGGTCAGAGAAAGCGAGGAAGACCTTCAACAAGATGGACTGACACAGTGTAACAATGGCATGGTGCAGGATAGGGCAAGATTCAGATCTGTTGTTCACAGGGTCACTGAGTCATACTTGACTTGATGGCACCTAACAACAACAAGAAGTTTATTACTTAAAGCCTTTTCTTTGCAAAGGGGTCAACTCTTACAAAGGGGCCAATCAAGATCCTGTCACTTGCAATTTTGTCAATGTCAAATCAATTAGAGACAGCTCAACTGTACCTCCCTACTTGCAGGTTTTCCCCTTCTCAACTCCTACAATTCTGTGGTTCCCCGAAGCACTTTGATAAGAGTTTAAAAACGCTTTTTCCCCTCAATTCTATACAACAATTCTTGGTCACTCTTTGTTTTTCCTCTACTTGTGACACTTTTTCAACAACCAATATAGGTATCAGAACAACTAGGATCCATAGCGAATATTCTCTGGTAGATGCCTGGAGGGGCAAGAAATTGGGGTTTGGATCCAGCTGAGTTGACACAATTCTCTTCACTACCCAAAACCTCCCCGATTTATCTTTACAAGGTGCCTGGGTTAATCTGTCTCACTCTCACTGCTACCAAGTCAGAATCAGCTCACAGCTGCATGTCCAGTTACATAGGAGGAGACTGCACATCTTTTCCAGAAGAGTCGCTGGTGGATTTGAACAACCAGAGGTGCTGCCTTTAGGGTGAGCAGTGTCACTCTCTACAGCTACACCACCAGAGCTCCCTCCTGGGTGAGTACTACTTGGATTTTCTGAATTCTCTGCCTCCTTATGTGTCTGAGGTTCAACTGAGTTTCAAAACTGCCTTATTTTCATCACTAGGAACTCACTTCTATCACTAGTTTAGGGTTGTTTTCTCTTTTTTTAATTATGTCTGATTCTCTCAAGGGTAAATCGTGTGTCTCAGGATACTCATGGAATATAAATCTACTTTCAAACAAAAGGGAATGCTTCATCCACACCTGAATTTGTAAACCTCAGGCTCCACTGACCATGACACTGTTAGAGAAAATTGCCTTTAAGGCTGCTCCAGAGTTCAAGATAAATATTTTCAGTTTGCAAACTCTGGTTAAAGATATGTGCCTCTGATTAACCATAGACTCTCCAGTCCTTTTGGATACTGGTCCACAGGTATTATTCATCAAAAGTAGAGCTCCAATCTGGTTTATGGACATGATTGATCTAACAGGGAATGACTAAGAACAAATCCAAAAACAAAGAATAATGCCAAGGACATATGCACAAATGATAATCTATAGTTATCCTACTCCTTTTTCAACCAAAGATAATCTAGTCATTCTATTCCTTTTCAAATCAATGGCACACTCTGACCAGGAAGGTGGAGGGTCAGAGAAAGAGAGGAAGACCCGTCACAAGATGGATTGGCACAATGACTGTAACACTGAGCTCCAACATATGCTATCAGTGATGATGAGGATGGTCCAAGACAGGGCAAAGTTCACATCTGTTTTGAAAGGGGGACTATGAGTTGTAACGGACTTGCTGTCACCTAACAACAACATCCTCTTACTATCCACCAGGAACAATTCCAGGCATTGTACAAGTTTACTGCTGTAGAATCCCCCCAGTGCCTTCTTGTTAAGTGCAAGTCATTACACTCCTCCATCAGGTTTCTGAGACTACTAATCTTTACAGTCCATGTAAAGTAAGTGTTAACTATTTTCCCCCTTGGAACATTTTTTGTGTGTGTGTGTGATTTTAATGAAAGTTTATAAAAAAGTAGGCTTTGCATTGTGTGTTTCACATTATCCTTCAATCAACATAGTTCGTTTCAGATATAAGTTAAACTTCATCTTATGCTGTACCCCGACCAAAGTCTTTGCCTCTATAATTCTTTTTTTAAAAAAGTAATTTCATTTCTTAGAAAAGTTTAACTACTGGTAGCTCAAGAAGAGCAAAGGTCAGGATTTCCCACCTATGTAAGGAATTATTAAAAGATATTTATAAAAAAAAGATCTGTGTAACTCGTTCTGGGGGATAGAGGAAATTTATTGGTCAACATAAACAATAAAAACTTATAAGGTTAAGTTTGAGGCTGATATAAAGGAAGGTTACAGTTTAACAACCACTTTGTAACTTTTATCCTCTCTGAAACCTTAGTGTGTAAGTACTAAGTCTTTATTTGCTTACAAAATCTTCATCACCCTCCCTGCAATGTGGAACATACTATCGTGCTCCCTCTACAATCCTGCCTGGATGATGACATATCTCCCATTTGCACGAAAAAATCTTCAGTAAGACTTTTCCCCCCCTATAAGAATGTGAGTCTGATGTCCCACCAAATGCTTCCCTACAGCACCAAGAGTTCGGTCTTGTGACAAATGGAAAGACAGGGCTATACTTATTGCTCTAAGTGATCAAGTAAGACTTAAAGAAGTTATAGATCTCAAAGTGACAGCAGTAAAGTACCTAGATTTGAACTCCAGTTGCAGACTAGCTGCTGACTCTTCAGTTCACCCCCAATCATCACCACCTCATCCCCTCCACCAATCCA